ATCCATATCAAAAATGCAGTGAGTTATCTTCATTTTAGAATGCTTTAAGTAACGGAAACCAAAAAAAAAAAAAAAGAAGAGTATTTATGCACTTTTGTTGCATAAAATTTGAATGAAGGGCATGCTGGTTGTCACATGTTAGCATTAAATAACCAATCCTAATGTATAATTCAATTTCATTGATCAACCAATCACAAGAAAGTTGGCTTATCGCTATTAGCTACAGGCGCGTTTCTAATCATTAAATGTCTTTACAAAAAGAGATTTTTAAAAAAGGTAATAGAAGTGCTGCGTTATTTGAACCAAGGTTAATCGAAGAACGGGAGGATGTAGACGACCTGAGGAAGGTAATAGAAGAAACTGAGAAGAGCAATATCAGAAGCCTTCCCACCGTGTAGGTTCTTGAATACTTTTGATAGGTTTAACAAACAAATAGTTTGTAAAAGTTTTATTATTATTGAAATATGTGGGTGAAATTACATATTAGAAAAAAATATACGCCTGCTCCCTGGGAAACTTGTTTTGATAGTTGTAGAGATATAAAAATACCAGATTCTGAAAATATATCCTTTTTTTTTTTAATTTTATTTCCGATTCACTTGTTACCCTAATAAAATTTTAAAAGGATGATAGCATCTATGGAAATTATGAAATTCTTGACCAAGCACCCTATGCGTATTGATTTACATATTCAGAGCTTATGACATTCAAGGCAAAGCGGCAAATAATAGCAGTCCATTATTTGTGTTCCATCATGGTGCAGGATACTCTGGTTTATCTTTTGCCTTAGCCGCTTTACATATTAAAAATTTAACAAATGGCGAATTTACTATATTTGCATATGACTGTAGAGGTCATGGTACGTCATTTAAGTTATAAACCAATTTTTCAAATTTCTAGTGATGGATAAAATAGATATATCCGATTAATATAGGGAAAACGAAAACAACCGATGATCTCAATTTATCATTGGAGCAATTAAGTCAAGATTTAGCCGACGTTTTGAAAGCAGCTTTTGGGAATGATGTTATAACAAATCGAGAAATTTTCTTGGTGGGACATAGGTAATTAGGTTTAGTGTTATTAAAATGTTATTAATTTAGATAAATTTTATAATCTTTTTTTAATATTTTTTAGTATGGGAGGTTGTGTGGTGGCAGATGCAATGTCTAGACAATTAATACCTTCTGTGACTTGTATGGC